CACAGCTATAGCTGCAGAACCACAGCTATAGCTGCAAGTTTCTGACCTTCACAATTTCTCCCCAGATTTCCACAGCTCGAGCTCCAGATCCACAGCTATGGCTGTGGATCTCTGCCTTCCTAAAAAACCTGCAAAAAATGAGAAAATTCCTTAAGATTTTGCTACTACTCCTCTACTCTTTTAGTATAACTTGATTCTTTAAATAAAGGGGGGTAAAATAACATATATAATATCTACAATTACCAAAAAGAGTACCAAAAGTTGAGTGTAAATCATACATAAAAGACACTCAACAACTACCCCAACTTAATCTCTTGTTGGTCCCCAACAAGATACCAATCAAAAACCAAAAAGGTTACTTCCTACCATAAGATTTCTTCTATATCAACAATAGGTAAACACTCAATCAATTCACCATCAAAAACCAATTTCTACTCACTGAGGTGCCCACAACAACAACCATGCCCAAACACAAAAATTGCAAGGCAAATCATAGCATGAACATTACAAACCAATATCTGAACATACTCTCTCAACAATGGCTCTCCAGGGTGAGTGTTTCTCTCAAGTCCATTCATCATTTCTATGAACATAAGCATTGATATCATCTCTTCAGTACTACTCTTTGAGAGAAAATTAAGGATCACAAGGACTTTTTTGGAAAGTTGAGGGTTGACTGAGGCTTGGTTAACAAAGGAATGTGGTTTTTCAGATTAACAGGGTTTAAACTCAAGAGAGTAAAATGAACATGAACCAAACACTCCACCTTGCTCACTCTAAATATTCAACTCCAACCAGATCTCTCAGCCTAAATTCTTCCTCTAATTACACACCCTCTTTCCTTAAGATTCTTTGCCTAGATTTCAAGAGGTCCCTCTCTTTTAAGACTCTTTGTACAGGTGCTTGCTTATTTTGCTCTTGATTTGATTTGATTTGATTTTGATTTTGATTTTTTTTATAGATCAAAATAATGACAGAATGAAAATAACAAGCACACTTAAATGTGAACAGAGAAAATGATGGAGGGGTGACTCTTCCCTTCAACTTGCATTGGCTTACTTTCTCCATTTTCTTTCCTCTTGGCAATTCTTACCAACTACCCCAACTTAATCCCCAATTCATTTTCATTTACTCTCAAGAGTTTGGTCAGGGTGATGAGTTGGTATTTGGGAAAGGTTTAAGGTGATTTGAAGGTTAAGGCTCAAACAGGTTTTAAAGGATGGATTCAATTATGGCTGGCTGTTTGGCTCTAGGCTTAAAAAGATTTCAGTTATTTATACCCTTTTATTACACATATATCAATGTGTTATCTACATGAATACTAACCTAAACATGCATTATTGAAAGCAATAAATACGACAAAGAATAGAGAAAAGAACCTCTGAAGTAAGCTTTTTTTAGAAGAAAAACTTGAAAGCACTTTACGACAACCTCCTCACTCTACAAAACCTCCTATCGACACTCGAAAATTTAAACTGACAGACTTTGAAATCCTCAAATATCCATGGATTTCTTTATCAGGAATAGCATTGAGTTTATTTCACTCGGAGTTACCTAAAGGGAATGAAGAGGGAGAAAGAAAGCTCAAATTTTGAATTTAGGCCAAGGGTATGGGGTATGGTGGAGCCAAGCTTTTTTTATAGGCCCTTGAGGGTGGGAACGGTTGTTCTCACCCTTTCTTACACTATGTTTGGTTTTTGGGAATGGCCATACCCAATTTGGAATGGCCATACTTAATAACAGTGAGTATAGTCATTCTCATGACCAATATACTTGTTCTCAATGCTCAAAAACTTATTTTCTTGGTTTTTTGACTCCTTGGAGTGCCTTCTAGGGATTCATTGCCTTCTTTTGAAGTATTCTTAAGTTTACAGCTTCTGTTGGGGATCATTTCCTTCATTTCTGAAGCTTCCTACCTTCAAATTCTCAACTCGGATAGAAACGCGTGTCTATAAGGGTCTATTTATAGAGGCACCTTCAGTAAAAGGTAATTGATGACTAGCCATTCTAAAGGGTCTAAGGATCTAACTTGAGTAATTATCAAATTTCAACTCTAATACCAATTGTTGGTCCTTGGTAGAACATGAATCTAGAAGGGGGGTTGAATAGATTCTTTGCTTAAATGGTTTCTAATGGTCTTTCTTACTCTCTTATTAATTTCTTTCTTTCTTATACAAATTTTACTAATCACATTCAGATTACACACCAATCAAAGATACAACTTATCATATTTAATACATAGAGGAATAGATGTTGTAATCCAAATTGATTTTAGTAGTTACTGTAGACACCCAATTTCGTCCAGGGTACCCAAACCAAGAACAAAGGTCTACCAGAGCGAGACAAACAACCCTTGAGGGGCCCAACACATTGGGAATTATGATCACATCTCTCTTTACAAAACTAATTTTGATGTTTCAACCGTTGAAATTAAAGATCAATGTATTGTGAAGATATCATCAAAATTTCAGCATGATCCAACGGTTAACGAGTTCTCTAGAAGCCTCACACTATAGCTGGAAAAAGTAGCACATACGATCCCTAAGGGCCCAATAGAGCACCTAAACAGGCCAAGATGGCTCCGTAAGGCCCAGAAAACTAAAAAGAAACTGATTCTGGGTGCGGAACAGTAGTTCCCAAATTGGAACAGGTCGTTCTGAATGTTGGAACAGCCCGTTCCGAAACCAGAATGGTTCGTTCCCCTTTTCAGAAAATTTTATGTTGGGTAGCATTTTTGTTCTGATAATATCTCTCTCTAAAAGCCTAATTTTCATGATCCGACCGTTGAAGTTAAAGATTAATGTATTAAGAAGATATCATCAAATATTTAGTATGATCCAACTATTAATGATTTCTCTAGAGGCCTCATATTGCAGCTGGAAAATATGAATCTTGTACCAGATAGCATTATTGTTATGGTAGTATCTCTCACCACAAACCTGATTTCAAAGATCCAACCGTTGAAATTTAAGAAAAATATATTGTGAGGATACCGTAAAAGAACCAGCGCAATCTGACGGTTAACAAGTTCTCTATAGATCCTGCATGGTGCCGAAGGAAAGATTATATTTTTATAAAATTTAGTCTCATATCGGATAGCTCTCTTATGCTTCTGTCTCCTAGTTGGCTATATAAGAAACCTTCTGGCCAAGGGATTGAAAGAAAAAAAAATAAGTTGCATAGCTTCCCCGCCCCCCTCTATAAATCTTTGAGTGATAGTGAGGATTTTGTAGAGTGAAGGGCTACTAAAACGTGTCTCGCACGCATTTGGGAAGATTCTCTTATATGCTAATAAATAATCATCAAATGCACTCTTAAAAGTCAAAGTCTAGATCTTCTTAGGTTTCTTCCAACCTAGATGGACGTCATGCTCAAAATGAAGTTGGAATCATCCAAAGAAAAATTTCAACAAAAAAAGGGAGAAGAATCGAAGCAAAAAGAATTAAGAAAGAAATAAAAAAAATTCTTCGTGTGAACACAATTAGGGGGGTTGAAAAAAAAACTCTGCCTTAGAATGAGAAATCATGAGCTCAAAGAGTTGAAGATATTAATGTTAAGCACCCCTTATCCCTTTGACTCGTTATCAAATCACTCCTAACCACATTCAATATAGTGACAAACCTAAAGACCTTGTTTCATTGACGATTAATTCAGATTGGGATAGTAAGAGTGAAGAAGACCCCATTTCATTGACGGTTAATTTTGATGGGGTTAGTAAGAATAAAGAAGAATCTGAGAAGAACTAAAGACTAAAAATTGTAAGTCGATAAATGAGCTACATGTCTATAAAGATATCAATCAGGCATGAGTTTCTCTAGGCTACTACAACATTGTCAAAGTGCACCGAAAAAGCTTGTACAAAGAATGTTCTCTAAACAAACAAATCAATGAGAATGATATTTGTTAAATTGCTCAATTTCCTTTACATCCTATTTTGCACTTCATATAGATAACATACCTTCCTTGTAAATAATAAATAAGGATAAAAAAGGAAACATAATATGTGCGTGTTAATCAAATAATGAAATCACTGGTAATCAAATGTAAACCTCACATATCAAATCGGGGAACACTTAACTTAATACCAGTAATTGGGGGGCATAGCATGCCCAAATTGACGATTCAAACACTGAGGCTTCCCCATTTGGAAGCAACAAGGTAGTTCCATGGACTATAGAGTTTATCAACAACGATCTTATTAAGAAAGGCTATGCATGTTAAGAACCCGGTAGGACGAAAACCCGCGAAGGGTGTCCTAGGCAAAATTTGGGGTAAAGAAAAAGAATCAAACATCCCGATAGGATACGTCCTATATAAAAGTTAGGGATATATATAAAAATATATATAAAAAACATATATATATATATATATATATATATATATAAATTCTCTTTGTTTCTGCAATTTTAGCAAGGGTTTAGATATTGATTTTTGATTTTTTACTTTTTTTGTTATATTACAGATATGAGCTACATTACCAGATGATTACTTTTGGAAAGGTAAATTGCATTTTCTCAAGAGACTTACCTTACTTGAGCAAAACCCATTAAGATTGGGACAAAACTACAATAAATGCAGGTCTTCTGTACAAAAAGCAAGCCAAATTGTAATGCATGCCCAATGAGAGGAGAATGTAGACACTTTGCTAGTGCATTTGCAAGGTATGTATATGAAATATGAAAACTCCTCACAAAATTTAGTAGTCTAGAAGGCACTGCAAGTATTGTTAACAATATAGGTTAATAACTTGTCAGGCAGAATACAAGAAAGTTCATATATCTAGAATTATAATACTCACTTGCTCATTATAATGGCCGTACTATTGCATTCTATCCTTATCACAATGGCTTAATTAAGAATTGTTTACGTAAGTGACAGCTGGAAATGATCTCAGTACCACACAGAACCCAATAATATGCATGTATTGCAAGTTATGATAGATCAATTACAAATAAACAATATCGTATGCAGTGCAAGGCTTGCATTGCCTGGACCAGAGCAGAAGAGTATAGTTACCACAGCTGGAAATAGTGTGATTGATCAGAATCCATCTGAAATCATCAGTCAGTTGCACTTGCCTCCCCCTGAGAACACAACCCAAGCAGAAGAAATTCAACTAACAGAAGTGTGCAGACAACTGGAATCAAAATCTGAATTAAACATTTGCCAGCCTATCATTGAAGAGCCAACAACTCCAGAGCCAGAATGCTCACAAGTATCACAAACTGACATTGAGGATGCTTTCTACGACGATTCATGTGAAATTCCTACCATCAAGCTTAACATAGAAGAGTTTGCTCTGAATTTACAAAATTACATGCAAGAAAAGATGGAACTTCAAGAAGGTGAAGTGTCAAAGGCATTGGTTGCTTTGAATCCAGAAGCTGCTTCCATTCCTATGCCCAAGCTAAAGAATGTGAGCCGATTACGAACAGAACACTGTGTGTAAGTAAAATAACAAACTATTCTCCATGTACTTAACATTGAGGGCACCAACAAAATTTCATACTGATTTCCGTAAAAGCAAGACCAGCAATCAGTAATTACATGTCCACAATTATTAATCCAGCAATGTTTGAAGATGCATGTAATTCATCCATAGAGTTTAGAAGGCATCACAGCCACCATGCTACAGTAGTAAAAAATTCTAACAACTTATACTGATTTTGTTTACCTTTATACAGTTATGAACTTCCAGATACACATCCTCTTCTGCAAGGGGTTAGTTATTGCAGCATCTATTAATCAAAGCTATGTTTTACCCTGTATGTCCATCTTTTATTAACTATTTGTGCATTACAGTGGGACACACGTGAGCCTGATGATCCAGGCAAATACCTTCTTGCTATATGGACTCCAGGTAGACAAGAATAACAATTTCATTATCTTGCCTCCTTTCAGATGAATTTAGAGGCACTGTCTAGTCTTTGTCTGCTCCATGTAACAGCACCGTTATTTGGGAAATTTTTAAATAAATATTTTCTTTCAGCTTTCTGGTGTTTCCTAATTCATTTTCCCAAATAAATTATTACATTAGGTGAGACAGCAAATTCTATACAGCCACCAGAAAGTAAATGCAGCTCTCAAGAAGAATTCGGGCAGCTCTGTAATGAGAAGGAATGTTTCTCGTGCAACAGTTTCCGTGAAGCAAATTCACAGATAGTTAGAGGGACACTCCTGGTCTGAATGCTTATCAAAATCATTGTTTTAACCATATGTTGCTTACTAATTCGTATTAATTATGGGGCCAGGGAAGGGAACACATCTGCATTGTAATTCAAGCATTATGATAAACTGACCTGAGTTCATGATAAATATGAACAGATACCATGTCGAACAGCTATGCGGGGGAGCTTTCCACTGAATGGCACCTATTTCCAAGTCAATGAGGTAAAGTAATGTGAGATCTTCAGTTTGCTAAATCTCGTTTCCTCTTATACTTGCATATTGAAATTTAAGCAGTACAACTAGTATCATTTGAACCAGGTATTTGCTGATCATGTCTCAAGTATTGACCCAATCAGTGTACCCCGAAGTTGGATCTGGAACCTCAATAGGCGAACAGTATATTTTGGAACCTCTGTACCAACAATATTTAAAGGTAAAGACTTAAGAATTCATAGTAACTTATTTAAGATATAAGTTACTATACCTCAAACAATGGAGTTGAATATATGATTTTTGTCGATCAGGTTTAACAACACAAGAAATTCAACAATGCTTTTGGAGGGGTAAGATTTAATTCACATTCACAGAATGTAATACTGCTTTGTTAATTCAATATCCTACTTTAGCCGGTTTTCGTTGGTGTGATTAACATCACTAAATTGCATTTTTAGGCATACTTTCAGGGTCAAAGGACTAAATAAATGCAGTTCTCCCGCTGCATTTGCTAAAAACACTAGACGCCACCATAATATGCCACCTTACATTTACAGCTTTTAGGTTAATTTTGCAAGCATCTATGCATTATATATGCATATACTTCTATTATCGTAAGTGCTACTAAAGCTTGTTTGGTTCGATTGCACAAATCAACAGCACTATGCTAACAAAATCAAAGATAACCAACAAATGAACCAAAACCATAACTTCCTTCGTAAGCAATGAGAAAGATATGAAACCTAATTACTAGAGTAAATTATTGGTGTAGCGAAGGGTGCCTTGTTTTTGTCTTCATCTCATCCAGAAGCATTTTTTGACCTATTGAAGCCTATTTAGCAATTTGCACTTTCCCCCTACAGTGCACTATGGTATCAAAACTCCTTCAACGGTAACTGAAATACTTGATAGCAATTCCCTTGTGCCATAGCAGCCCATTCCAAAAACACTTCGTCTAATAATTCTAGCAACCTTGTTTCCTTGTTTTTCAATCGAGTAAACCCTCAATTTTATCCTAAGGTTTTACCCTCCCTCCTGAGTTGCCCTTAAAGTAAGAAAATTATATGAATAAACCCCGAAGTATTAGAAATCATAATAAGTATTTTTTTCAAATATTAAAAAATTCATCAAAGTTGCTCCCTGAATGTTAATAAAAAAAATATTAAGTCAGGGACTAAACCGATAAATATTCTATATTTAAAAGGATTACTTATCATATAACATTATTACTTTAGGGGGACTAAATAGAGCGTAATATTGAAAGATTTATTTGATGGTTTATTCTTTTTCAGTCATTTCATTATCAGTCTTTCATTATCCATATTCTCTTCTAGTGGAAGATTAGTGCGCACTCTAGCATGCATGCCCACTAACACTAACACTCAGACATATTAGAATACTTCCGACATGTATGTTTAGTTACCTTTACATAGATTTTTGACAAATTCTCGGCCATCTTATTTCCATACGCCTCTATATATGACACTATTGGTTGATTTGGTTCCTTGCTTTTCTGACATTAGGCTGCATCATGAACGTATATATAAATACGAAATACTACTTTGAAATACAAATTACAAGCAAAGGCTGAGAACTTCAATATTTACAAATGTACTAAAAAAATTTAGCTCTTGCTGTCTTGCTAGTTTTTATTATTATAATCATTACCAGTATTTTACTTTGCATTACAAATAATAATGTTTATCTTATATAATTAAAATGTATAATAAATAATTTTTCAATTCATTAATTATATTTTTGGGTTTATCTATAATCTATATCTATAACTATTATAAAGGGGATATAGGAGATGTAACCGCTTTTTGGTCTCTATTTTTTAATGGACCATTATACCCCCAGATAAAGGGGATATAGGAGATGTAACCACTTTTTGGTTTCCATTTTTAATGGACCATATCTATACTAGAGCTTGAGTCAATGGGCTTGCTGCTATCAGTCCTCCCACTTATATATTTTTTAATTATTTTATATCTAGTCGATGTGAAATTTGGATTTTTTCAACATTAACCCTCAAAATTTTTGGGGATAATTACTTGGGTCTAAGTCTGGACCAATATGATAGAAAAAAGAAAACCTTATTCATTGGAAGTGATCTTTATCAGTATAACTGGATTGTCATCAATTAGTATTTGTTGACTCCAAAATTTAGCCAGAATCAACCTTTCCAATATCTAATGTCACACCTTGGGATGTCCTTTGCAACAGGTAGGATAATGTCACACCTTTTTCTCTTTCTTTATTTTTATGCTATTTTTTAAAGCATGTAATTTGCTAGGAAAAACACTTAAATGACAAAAGGAGGACAAAGAAATTACTCGTTCAGCAAGAATACGGGCTTTATTGGGAGTACCAATACCCACAGCAATTAGTTTGACACCAGCTGAATCAAACCTTGCTTTGGATTCTTTCAAGGCTGAAGCCAATTCCCAGCTTAGAACACAAGCACAGTATAAGGCATAAATTAGAAGAACTATATCGTTCAAACAAGTCTTCATTACCAAAGGCTAGGATCAGTTACCAGCAAGGGCATCCAAAGTGCCTCAATAAGGCCACCACGGCAACTCCCTGCAAGAATCTAGACTAATCAGTAATAACACAGGAAGCATCACACAACATGGGACACATACAATAAGATACTAGTACAGTAATTCAGAAAATTTTAAAAATCATAAGAAACAACACATCCATAAATAATGCAACTTACAGAACTCAAGTTTTAAAAATGAGTGTAAATCACCAGACATAACAAATTGCAAAATGTATCCAACTATTGTAGTAGTTCAATCATTATTAACATAAAAATTTAAAAATAAAAGTAAACAAATTATATAAATGCAACCAAAAGTATTTGAAGATTTTATGCAGTTTGACACAATAAGTCTAGTACCCATGCTCAAAAGGTCAACCTATAATTTCCATAAGTCCACTCCTCCCAAGGTTGGCTTCGGCTTCACCTCACGCAATTGACAAGAACAGACACACAACGTAAGAACCATCAAAACAATTTATACTAGTTGGTTCAAGCCCCCACATAAACAAAACACAACGGGTGATTAATCTCGGTTAACAAAATGGGTACCAAAACAAGCATGTATGGAGTAATAAAGGAGGCTATGAATTAGGAATTACGATATGATGAAAGCTTTTACACATGAATATTAGCTATGCTGACCTCATTCTGATCCCAGAGATCGCTGAATCTCACTGGCTCTCCGGCAGCGGTTAAAATGCTAACGTCAATAAGGTTTTCCGCGATTTGAGGACTATATTGGGAATTGGAAACCCTAGGAGAAATGATAGAGTGCCTTAGAGTGACACTGGCACCCTTTGAGGCAATCAATTTGGGGGAACAATTAAAGGGAGTGGCTGGGAAAGTGTGAGAATTTGAGGGTGGGATTAATGGACGGAAAGAAGGTCGCAGAGTTGCCATGGGGTGGTTCGTGAACTTGTTGAATTCTTCAATACGTAGATGTGGTGGTGGAAACTAGAAATTGTGGAAGAAGTTCAATGTTATCACTGTTCATGAGACTCTCACTCGAAGCACAGAGCCACAGAAATTTTCGTGGCGGGAGTGTCTTTTTTTTCTCCCCGCCAATTACCGAACGTGCTTCTAATTTTATTTTTCTTTTCAAACAACAGTTTTGATGTAAGACCCAGGAAGTCCTTTCTGGCTATGTTAAAATAATTTGACTTTTGTGTTATCGTTATATTTAGTTAAATTTGTTTTAAAATGTGATAGCGTCTAGTTAAATAATAATATAAGAAGTTTTTTTTTACAAGTTTAAGGATATTTAAATTAATTATAAATAAATTTAAAAGTTAATTTAAATTTTTATATTTTGATAATTTGATTATTATACATAAATGAATGTCGTCATATTGATTCTACTATAAGTAGTTGGTTAAATATTAGTTATTAATAAAATTAATAAATATTTTGTATCAATAATTATTTGAATGTGATATATTATTGACTTATTTTTTTTATTTTTATTTTGTTTAAAATTTTATAAGTGTTAGACAAAATAATAAATAACAGTTGTCTTTAATTATTTTTTCTTTATTTTTAATTTATTTGATTTTCTTTGTATTTTTTAAATCGTGACTTATCTTATTCCAACAAAATCTTGAAATCAAATTATAAACTTCCACCTCTTTATTGGGAACTTCTTTGTGATGTGCCACCTTAATTGATCCATTTTTCGTTGCATAATGGTCTTTAACAATAACTCATAATCTCGTATGAATGGACTGAATGTTTAGTCATTTTTTATGCAATTATGTTTAATTGTCTATATATTTACATTTTTAGATTTGAAAATTGGAATCATAAGTATTGCTCAAATATTTATGAGGATGTTATTTTTTCACTTTGTCCATGCACCAAAAAACCCATGACTAACTTTATATATAACCTTGGTTCGAGACTAGAATCATAACATGTTGAATAGCAAGAAGTTCAACATGGCTATTAGCAAATAAGTTGATGAAACCTTAAAACATCCCCAGTGGTAACAATTCGAACATACTAGAATGAGAGATTTAGAGATCTATACACGTGTAAGACTATATAATTGAGGATGACCTAAAAGGAATCAATTCGTATTGTCTATATCAATAAAATGCATCTATTTTTTAATAGTTCATTACTTAAGAACTTCATAGTTAAACGTGTTTGATTTAAAGAAATTTAAGGATGGACAACTTTCTTAGAAGTTTCATAAAAAGCGTGCAAGTGAGAAAAAAAAAACACACTGAAAAGTCTTGTTTTGATTTATGGTGATAGTCATTGATCCTAAAAACGATCGAACATCTAAAAAAGGACTACCTATAAAGGATTCTAATTAATGAAGAGTTCCGACTAACGAGGAGTTATGTGAAGTGTATGCCTAACATCATGTACAATGTATGCCTTTGTGCTCATTTTTAATTTGATCCTAAAGAGTCTCATCTTAAGACTATAAAACGAGATATCTTGGAGGTACTATTAACCTAAGTTTGTTTTGTGAGAAAAATAATAATTTCAAATTAGCAAGATTATGTGATGCAAGCTATGCTGGTGAAAGGATTGAAAGAATAAACACAAGTAAAGGATGTCATTTGTTAAGATCTTATCTCATTTCATGGGCAAGCAAAACATATAACTCCATAGTTATCTTTATTGTAAAAGCATAATACATTTATGTTGCTAACTATTGTTCATGGTTATTATGGCTAAAGTATCAATTAGAAAACTATTCTAGTTTTGAGCATAATATACTTATATTCTGTTGTGATAAAACTAGTGTTATTTATTTGTCTAAAAATCTCATACAACACTCTAAGGCTAACCATATAGAGATAAGATGTCATTTCATTCATGATTATGTAAAAAAAAGAGTTTTGGATATAAATTTTATTAATACTAATCACCAATGGACTGATATCTTTTACCAAAGCTCTAGCTAAAGAATGCTACAAATTCATCAGAGAGCATCTTAATTTGAAATGCATACTAGACTAAGCATCATCTTACTCATATTTTGCTTCATCTGACATGCATCATCTTATGCTTATGTGGACATATTTGCTTCATCTAACTCATTAATATGAAACATATTATTTAATTGATATATGTTCACTAACATACCGTCTTTCTCTGAAAAAGTTATATTTGACATTTAATGCCCATGAATGCTTTTAAATGATTATGAAATGGGAATTAAGAAAAGAAATGCATGGAACAATGTGATGGTTAGAGGCAGGTCACCATAGCTAGATTTTGTTCTCTCTCCTTGTCCTTTCTCCCACCTAACATGTTTCAAAAAAACAAAATTTTGTGTTACCCACAAACATCATCTTGTGTTTCATCTTATATGCATCATCTTATGCTTATGTGGACACATTTGCTTCATCTAACTCATTAATATGAAACATATTATTTAATTGATATATGTTCATTAATGTACCATCTTTCTCTGGAAAAGTTATATTTGACATTTAATGCTCATAGATGCTTCTAAATGATTATGAAATGGGAATTAAGAAAAGAAATGCATGGAACACTGTGATGGTTAGAGGTAGGTCATGACAACTAGTTTTTGTTCTCTCTCCTTGTCCTTTCTCCCGCCTAACATGTTTCAAAAAAACAAAAAATTGCCTTACCCACAAACATTCAAACACTTAACCATTTCTGAAACTCTCATTATTGTCTTTATTTCTCCCTCAAATTTTCATCTTCCTCTCCCAAATAGAAACCCTAATCTCCCAAATGGTATCCAAGACTCAAACAACCAGCAACACCAAGGTCCCAATGAAGGAATAACCTAAGACAACCTTCCCACTGGAAAGAACATCATAGTTCAACAATTGCAAGACAAATGATATCTAGTGAAGCACTACTTGGATAGGGTTGGATGGACCAGCTTCGCTAAGCTTCAATTTGATTGGTTCCATGCTCCCTATGCCTACTTTTTGGCACCTGCAAAGGGTGGAAGCACACGCCATAATAGGAGAAGTGCACCAAATTGAGACTAGGATTAATCATATCATCATTGTAACAGTCTCTAGTTGCAAAGAAGAAGGTATAATCTACTCCATCAATTGAGGGAGGTCATCAATCAAGAAATAATGGACGTTATGTTGTATCCCTCTCCTTGACCTTTTAACGAGACGAAGCTGAAAAAATGTCTTCGCACCGTCAACATGAAGCCACCCTATAGATTGCTTCATAATCTGCTCTTCGACACGTTCATCCCTTGATCTAACTCTAAGGATAACATTTCTTATGTGGACCATTTTTGCTTGAACCATTTTTGCCTTAGGGTAAAGATCAATCTGCCTAGTCTAGTATTCAACCACTGAAAGTTCAATCCCAACTAGAGAGACTAGGAATGAAGAAAAAGGGCACTTATTCCCCACGAGATACTCCTTACAAAGTTTATTCAAAAAGTTGACATTAACACCACCAACTACAAGAGGGGAAATGGGGTAGGAGACATCAATTCCACTACTCTGAAGAGAAAGAGGATCGTTCACCTCATTCCCAACACCAAGAGGATTCTTAATGTTTTCAAAGCTGAATTGGAGGAGGAACCCCTTCTCAAGAAGCCTCAACTAGTCAATGAAGCCTTCGAAGCCACCCACAAGTCCAAATATCTCCCCAAACACAAGCTCAAACACAACCACCTCCACAACCACAAAAAATAAGAGCCCACAAAACATTAGGCATCTCCATCCATGAATCTTCATCTAATTTAGATGATAAAGCCTTTATCATTTCATCTTTCTCGACCTGAAACTATTCCATCTTAGCCACCACAACAACAAACACAAACCCAAGTTCCCCGACCTCAATAGTCCAAGAAGATATGTCTAATATGTGGGCTCGTCGGGCCTAAGATGAAGTAAGAAGAATAGAAGTTCTTCAAGCATGTCAAGGTTTTGTCTCAACTAGAGGCACACAAGCAAAAGTCAAAATAGAAAGACCTAGCCAATGAAGAAGCTAGGATGTTGGAAGCAACACTTCGTCTCTCTACTTAGAGTCTCCATTTAATAACAAACACGTTTGTTTAGGTTGGTCGAGCACTTTCATCACCCACTCAAAAGGGAGCATCTAACGTCGAAGAATGTCTTCATTTAACACAAACAAATATGTTTGATGTTAAGACATTAACTAATGAAGTAAACGTCGAAGCCATTCCTACAATCCAACATATTTCGTCTGCAACACCTGTTATAACAATTAAGACTATTGGACGAACTAATGACAATGCACAATTATCGCTTGAAGTGTTTGCATTAGAGACCACACCTTTAAGCATGGACACCTTCCTAGTTTTGCATGATCCCCACAACCTTGAGGCTTTCATCTCTATGGTGTCACTAGGAGAAGATGTTGAAATTTTGAGTGCTGACTCAAAGGAAGAAGTGAGTTTGAACGTTTGGCAGAAAAGGAAACCACAAACGAACAATATGTAAAACCCTATGTCTACAACTCTACAAGGAGGTCCCCCTACTACAACATGAAGGAGTACCTTCAAACGTGCCATAGGAACGAGCAATCCATCATCACTTATCCTAGAACATGCCCAATCACTAAAGTTTTCCCCCTTGATCTATATGGCTAACATCATTTGCATGTTGAAACCTTTCGCAACCGAGATTGCAACGGGACAACGAAGATAAAGTAAAAAATATGAAGTCGCTACCAATGTTTATTTTTATGGAAAAACATTAGAAAACCACAAAGTAGAAAATGGTCTACAAAAATCAGATTTTTGAGTTCAGGAGTCGATTACATGTAAGGAAGGTATTAACATCTCATAACGTTCATCCTAAGACAATCACCTTTAATTAATTAAACAAATTATCTATAATTTAAAATATTTATCTCACCCTAGATTAATCGAAATTAACTATAACAATCAAATGTATTTTATTTAACTAGTGCATTTATTTTATAAAAATCAAAGTTATTATATAAAAAAGATAATATTATTTTTTGGGCTCGACAAGATTTATTTCTTACTCCTACGTATCTCCATATGCAACGGAGAATCAGAGTCACGTAGTTCTTTGTAGAAAATATTTGTATGTTGATATTTTTAATTTAAATTTTATTTTTATTAAATTTAAGA